AAGAATATGGATACATTAAATGTATACAAAGTGTTGTGCTAAAGATTGATTGAAACTTGTATGAGAAAACTTTCGACATTCTGTGAGATATTAAACTCGGAGAACTTTCGTGAAAGTTACGATCGAGAATGAAGTGAACAATCCGCATGGATGCGCTCAGAAAGTTTCAATTTTAAATGATGTGATCTCATTATCAGTATTGCAGACGATTAAACAGATACGAAATCTAATCTTATACCAAATGTTACACGAATATTTCTTATATATTTTAGATGCAAAGATATATAAAATTATTGTAAATACCCTATGTTTAATGATTTTACCATCTTTTTCCCACTGCTTTGACCATTTATAAATTGTTAAGTTATTAATGTTTATTTAATATGTAGTTTACACAACGGAAATTTATTTGCGCTAAGATATTTTTTGCAAGCTGTCGCAAAGTATTATATTTTAAAAACACTATGTGTGTCAAGCAATGGTTACATTATAATAATTTATTGGAGCTTTGCTATATGATGAATGTATCCACAATAATCGATCTCTATCTTTTAACACGTTCTAGTCCTATACTGCTTATGGTAACCTACGAGATAGAAGAGAACGTCGACGGTACGTACATACCTACTTGTACAACACCAGCTTCGACGACCTGGATGACGGGCTTCATTCTGACGACGATCCTCATATTCTTCGTGATCCCTCTACTGATCCTAATAGTGTTATACACGGTGATCGCCAAACACCTGATGGCGAATCCGGCTATAAGTCGTGGACCGGCGAACAATCTGCTCAAGTATCGCAAACAGGTGGTCATGATGCTGGCCACGGTGGTGCTATGTTTTTTCCTATGCTTGTTACCTTTCAAGGCTCTCACTCTCTGGATCATTATCGTGCCGCCCAAGATGGTTGTCTCGCTTGGAATCGAAGGCTACTACAGTCTTCTGTATTTCTGCAGAGTGATGCTGTATTTGAATTCAGCGATTAATCCGATTCTCTATAATTTGATGTCGACCAAATTCAGGGAGGGTTTCCTCAATTTGTGCGGTTTGGGACTCGCTAAGAGGAAGAAGAAGAAAACGTCGGATCGTACGGGTACTTATACGACCGGGTCGACCAATTGCAGCAGCAGTCACTCCGACTTCTGGCGAAGACACAGCAGCAATAGAAGCTGCAACGTGAAGGTACCATGCAACAACGACACGTCCGTGGAAAAACAAATCAAATTGCCTTTACTCACGGCTGTTGTAGCCGGAAATATCGTTAAAAAGAAACAAGAAAGTTACGTTTAATTTTATAAATATATCGAGTATTTTAATGCAGTGGTAATTTAGCGTAGTTTGTTTGAAATCATAGATGAATCGTACAACAAGTTGTACAATAATAAGCTGTTTTTTTTTCTTGCTTCTTTCTATACGTATTAGCTTTCTCTTTTTCGTATACTTTATTATGCTATCCTAGGATCTCTACGATGGATAATTAAATAGAAATAAAATTATTTATTAATATTTAATAATTAAATGTAAATTGTTTAAATACTTGTAACAATAGTTTAGAAATAATTGTTAACTGAATGTTTACTAAATGTTATTATGTCAATGTTAACTTAGACAAGTCCATCCGAAATTAAAGTACAATAATTATAGTAGACACTTGTTACGTCAAGATTATTAAATTAAGACAACTTTAGTTTCTCGATTTTATCTACTTGGTACGTTATATATGATATATTTATTATATGTATATTTATGTAGGTTACATAGTAAATATAAATAGTTCTTTCAAGAGACTTGCATAAAAATTATAAGACAGTTTCGTATGCAAGTCTTTCGTTCCTAAACACTTTAATCGTGATATTTGATGTAGATTCAATTAGGCAGATATACGAGTATATATAGGTGAGAAAGAACAGAGTATGAAGCAAAATAATGGAATTATTTTTAGTGATTTTTTTATTTTTTTTTTTACATTAATTGATATTGAGATTGTTTTGTTGTATTTTAGGGATCAGAATTTCGGGGGGGCTATTCCGCCGATGGAATCAGTGATAAAGTCCGACGACAGAAGCAAGATATTGTTAAAAGTCGGCACAAAAGCGAAATTGCAAATTTTGTACATATATCAGAAATTAATTAAATTTTAAACGACACACCTTATTATTGGTATGTATGGTGGGTATTTTTTACGATGCTGGCATCTGAGAAGAAATACACAATTTTCTAACGAGGTTGTAGTTAGATGCAAAGTACGATTTTTTGCAAAGCTATCGCAAACTAATGCAAAATAACAAATCTTAGCGAAATATTTAAAGAATTAGGAAGCTTCTGTACAATTGTTGTAGAAATGATCATATAAAAATTTTTATTTCTTAATATCAGCTTTCTAATAAAGTAAGACTGACATAAATATGGTATGACTATAATATTTTCATTAAAACGATAATATAATACAACAAACATCGCCACGTGAGAATCATATAGTCATTAGGTGTATCTTAGTGCCATTTATATTAGAAAAGCATGTTTTAATAAAAAAAATAACACATTAATTTTTACTGGAATTCAAATATTTATCTTTATTTATTACAATTACAAGAATAATACTTATTTATGAGTGGAACTTTTACGTTATTATTACATATTACATTATTAGTCATTATTAAATTATTTGTTATATAGTAAATCAATCTTTAATATATTTAATACTAATAAAAATCTTATAATATTTTGTATGATAGTTTTGTTAATGTACAATATATAATACTTTATATGCTCATAAAAACCAATAAATTATTGGTACAATTAATTGATATCTAATAGATATCTAATCTTATAAGAATATCGGAATTTATTATTGATAAATATGCACATCCATAGTAGGCATTATTAAAATTTTGTTGATATAAATAATTACAGGAAATACTAATATTTGTCTGATGTATAATCTGTTAAGTTAATATATATATATATATATGCTATAATGCGCATATTAGAACAGAGACAATTCGTTCAATTATATCTGAACATGACTACAATGAATAGATGTAAAAATATAAATATCAATAAGAGATGTAGTAAGAGAAACATCTAAATCGAACATATTTAATTGGTACTTATTTATCTCTATTGACTCATTTGTCTGCAGACATGTTATCAGATTAAAAAAAGAATGTATTTATAAAATATTGTACAAAAATAACTCAGAAATTCTCCATTTTCTCTTGTTAATAAATTGTTGCATCCAAAATTGAATTTTTATAAAATTTAATTGCGAAGTATAATGTATAAATTACTTCTATTACATGCTAAATACGTTTGGTTGATATATATAATTAAAACTATATAAAATATTCTTTCGAATTTTATTTTAAATTCACTAAAAGTTTGGTTTGCAATCGAATGTGCTTAATTTCTGATGTCAGGTAACTATGAAATTAATTCTCTTAGTGTACATTCTTATGAAAGAAACCATCTCTTCTATTTCATCAAGGAATTCATTTTATCAAGAACTGAGAGAAAATGCATAAATTCTGATCTTAAATATATTAGCAATATTCTTTTAAGTTAATGCAAATTAATATTTTCTTAAATAATCCGCATATTTGCATGTTAACAATTCTCTCGCAATTTTAAAAGCTTGTAAAAATTAATATTATCAAAAATATACAGAATATTATTTTAGTACACATTTAACAGAATAATTATAACATTGATCAGAATTTTTAATGTAAAACTAAATAACTTTAAGTAATTAAAATATTAATTCTTAATTGTTGCAGAAATATTAATTCTTATATCTATAATTATAAAGTACTTTTCAGGAAAAGAAATTCGCGTCGCGCGAGCAATAACTTTATTGTTTACTATGAAATAACTGATGCGAGCAATAAATATTTGTTTTGTTTTAATTGTAATTTTAATAGTTTATAAAATTATTCCTCAATTTGACGTCTTTTGTTGGAACTATTTCAAAAACGGAGAACGTTTGCATCGTTAACATATGTTAACAGCTGTTTATAACATATAAAACTTGTTATAAAGCAAATCTGTAGAATATTCAAATATATTTTATTGAAACAATTAATATATATAACCGATTTACATATTATATCATAATATAAACTTTTAATGGTTATCTGAATTAATTTTTACACTGAGAAAAAAATTTACTAAATTTTAATAAATATTTCTACAAATAATTCTAGCGGAATATTTATTGAATGTAAACATATATTTATTAGATACAAGAACCGTTTGTTTTTATTTATCTAATTATTTATTTACCGTAAATATTTCGCTAGAATAATTTTTTTTCTTGGTTTAGAAATATGCACGTGCCATGCACAGATATACTATATGTATACTAATTCATATTGATATCTTATCCTATATTTTTACCAAAATATTGTTCTCAAGATAAGCTGCTCATATACTATTAGAATAATTAGACAGCAATGAGTTTTTTAGAATTGTATAATTGAAGAAAATGTCGAGAGAATTGTAACAAAATGCGATTTCTATCAAGTACAGAAAATACAATGTGCTATGTATGATTATCAGTTGCCGATTGTACAATTCTGTTTATCCCTATTTATTATCTAATTATTATTTATTCTTAATTAAGGCATTGTTAAATTATTATAAATTAAAGAAATGTCTTTGTGTGCGATTTATTATTACATTTTCTACAGAAACTTAAAAATAGAAAAAGAAGCACTTTATTTTATTAATATAGAATATAATTATAGAAACACTAAAAGAATAAAGTTATAAAAACATGATTTTGTAAATATCTTGCATAATACAAAAAATATTTTCATTAACAATTCCAGATATTTATTCACATGATATATCAATTTCTTGACGGAGCAATGTATTGTTATAATTATACATATACTTGTAGACTAACACATCAAAGAGATTAAATTATTTTAATAATATCAAGAGATTAGACATTATTAAAATAATTAGATTGTTATTATTTTTTATATACAATTTCTGTCTATTTGTATTTACTCGTCACGTGTTGCGCTTTACAAAAATAATATCGTTCGCCAAGTTGTCCGGATGCGTGACTAAACTGTAAACATAGTACCCCTGACGTTCCATCATATCGACCAGGTATTTTCGTCCTTTTTTATTGTGTATATATTCCACAGAAAGAGTCTGAAATGTACATGTATTTTTCATCGTAATTGGGCCGTAAAAAATAAGTACGTTCCGTAAAGAAACTACGTAGTCTGCGAGTTCCATGTCTTGATACATCATTAAATGTCAACGTTTCATGAATTGCAGTTTACTTCATCAGGACGAGAGAAGCAATCTGATAATGAACTTCTCTCATCTCTGGAGAATTCCCTTTATATACGTTGTTTAGAAAGAAGAAAGATAAGAAAAGAAGAATGTGATGACGGAAGTATATGATGAAAGGGGGGGATGGTCCATGGAGACTGTGAGATATAATTAAGGTTTCACCTTAGTGAAGTTCCCCTTAGTCTCATTCCTTTAATCGAACACTATACTTAACAATCATGTATTTTTCTTACGCGACGTATCATTACAATTACATTATTATATTTAAAAATAACCCACAAACCGCGTAATTTCTTTGAAGAAAATAACCGTAGAATCCTCAAAAGTATTGTTATTATATTATTTCACTTCCAAGAAAATATGTCACGAACATCAGAAACGAACGCATAGACTCAGAATGAGTGCCATACCTTTAT